GTCATCTGCTACCACTAAGAACAGTCTAAATCCATCCTCTTTAGAACCCCCTTTCAGGTAGTTGAAAACAGATATCAAACTCCCCCTCATTCTTCTCTTCTACAGATTAAATAATCCCAGTTCCCTTAGCCTCTCCTCGTAAATCATGTGCTCCAGCCCCCTAATCATTTTTGTTGCCCTCCGCTGGACTCTTTCCAATTTTTCCACATCCTTCTTGTAGCCACTCGGTCCCTAGTCTGTAGCAGTGCATGGGATTCTTCTGTCCTAAGTGCAGGACTCTGCATTTGTCCTTGTTGAACCTCATCAGATTTCTTTTGGCCCAATCCTCTAATTTGTCTAGGTCCCTCTGTATCCTATCCCTACTCTCCAGCATATCTACCACTCCTCCCAGTTGCGTGTCATCTGCAAACTTGCTGGGAGTGCAATCCTCCAGATCATTAATGAAGATATTGAACAAAACTGGCCCCAGGACCAACCCTGAGGCACTCTGCTTGATACTGGCTGCCAACTAGACATGGAGCCATTGATCACTACCCATTGAGCCCGATGATCTAGCCAGCTTTCTATCCACCTTATAGTCCATTCATCCAGCCTATACTTCTTTAACTTGCCAGCAAGAATACTGTGGGAAACCATATCAAAAGCTTTGCTAAAGTCAAGGAATGACATGTCCACTGCTTTCCCCTCATCCACAGAGCTAGTTATCTCATCATAGAAGGCAATTAGGTTAGTCAGTCATGACTTGCCCTTGGTGAATCCATGCTGACTGTTCCTGATCACTTTCATCTCCTCTAAGTGCTTCAAATTGATTCCTTGAGGACCTGCTCCATGATTTTTCCAGGGACTGAGATGAGGCTGACTGGCCTGTAGTTTCCCGGATCCTCCTTATTCCCTTTTTTAAAGATGGGCACTACATTAGCCTTTTTCCAGTCATCTGGGACCTCCCCCGATCGCTGTGAGTTTTCAAAGATAATGGCCAATGGCTCTGCAATCACATCACAGGAGCAACTTCAGCAGACAGTTTCTCCCTCTGATTCCTAAACAGTGTAGCTCCTCTTCTCCATGGCTTTAGGGAGCTAACCACTGAGGTACACAAGATATATGTAAAAAAACCACTCGGAATTTAGCACAAAAACTACATTTAGTGGCAGTTAAAATTGTGTCAGGAATAGAGCTGTATGAATAACTGATCTTTTGGTTTGGTGGCTAACCTGAAAAATTGGGGAGGAAATCATTTTGGTTGAACAAAAGTGTGGGGTTTTATTTTGTTTTTCAGAGTTTTTATCTTAATTTTTTTAATATAATTGAAGTAAAATTCAAAATGAAAAGTCATTTTGAATTGAAAAGTTGAAATGCTTCATTTAGAAAATGTCATAATGAAACATTTTGACTTTTTAATTTTTTTCAACTGAAACAATTTGATAAATTTGACATAAATTCACAAAATGTTTCAGTCAAACTGAATCTGCATTTTTTCAGTGAAAAAAAGTTTTATCTGAAAAATTCCACCCAGGCATCCAAAACCTGGAAAAAAAATGGGAAGTGGTAGTTAAGGAAAGAGTCTCTTCTCTATAGTTAATTTACTGTGGGAATTTTAGACATTTTAATGTAACAGCTTCTAATCAGACAAAAGCCAATTTTGGAACACACCTTTTCTGCCATTTTAATAAGAGGAACTGTTGTATCTGATTTTTTTAACATCGCTTTTGATAGTATTTCTTGGTTCTAATCAGGCCTTCATTTCTTTTACATTCTATCCTGTTAATAATTAGAACTAAACATTTTGTTCCTACTTTAATGCCATAGTACCAAGCACAGTGCCCATGCTCACTAGAAGCAGTGAGCGGGAAGCCCCTTGCCACAATATCTGGTATCCTCTCTTAATCCTTTATTTCACTGGCTTTTGTGCCCACTTTATTCCTGGTGTAACTATATTGTAGTTTCATTGGAGTTACACTAGGGATAAGTTTGGCACATTATCTCTTGTACTGGGCCCAAGTTGCTAAGTCTGGCTCTGGATCTTAGTTTTCCTCAATATGTGAGGCTGTTCACGGTTGGTCCGTTATAGACAGAGGCTGTAGTCACAATGTTCAGATTGGATCTGAATTCCAATATTCAGGGGTCTTCTGATGCTGTTGCTCCAGTTTGGGTTCATCTCTAGTATGTCCTTTTGATTTCACCTCAGTGTTGAATTCTGATGTATAACCAGCATGAAATACAGTAGGCAAGAGGAATCCCAAGATAAGAGGCGATTATACATCTACATACTCCAGGGGTAGAGGCAGTGAGAGACTCCCCTTTTTAGCCCAACTGGTAGTGTTGCTGTCTATAGACTAGAGATGGGTCTGAGGTGTAAAGTTCAGATTTGGATCTTAACTGTACTCAGGAGTTTTGGGTTCGGGGTTTTGGTTCATGCCATCTCTGCCCTACATCATGAGTCCTGGGGTTTGCCTCTGCTAAGGAGGTGGGTATGTTTGCACACACCAAATCCTGCTGTAAATGTTGTAGTGGCAGTGCATTAATTGGCTAAATGTTCTTAGAGGCCCCAGTTCAGGAGAACATCCCTATTCAGGAAAGCACAGAAGCACATGCTGAACTTTAACCACATAGATAAGTGTGATCCTGAATCAGGTACTAAGTGACTGGCAAGATATCAACAGATGCAACTTTTCTGGGAATTCTAGAAGAAAAAGAACCAATATTTAGATTGGACCTCATGATGTAACACTATTCTCTGTGGTGACCTCCCTCTCTGCAGCTTTTCATCTTGTGTCTGTATTGGTAATGCATTTCTGTTTATCTCTGCAAGTAGACACAGGACACTGTGGGGTACATTTCAAAACAGTGCAGAGGGCATTATACAAGTCTCATGAATCTACTTCAGTATCAAAGGGGTAGCAGTGTTAGTCTGGATCTGTAAAAGCAGCAAAGAGTCCTGTGGCACCTTATAGACTAACAGACATATTGGAGCATGAGCTTTCGTGGGTGAATACCCACTTCACACACGAAAGCTCATGCTCCAATATGTCTGTTAGTCTATAAGGTGCCACAGGACTCTTTGCTGCTTTTATAAATCTACTTGGTAACCATATGCAAAATGCCTTCTCTGTCTCTATTTCACAAACCTTCTAAAACCATATATTCTGTGAAGCCTTTTTTTTTTTCTTGAATGACCATATTCTGCTCTGTTTGTGTTCAGCTCTTTATTGTACTGTATTGCTTTTACCATTAGGCTACAAGTTCTTAGGGATAAGAATCTGTTAGTTGCTGAGCAGGTCACTTACTGTACAGTGCTAGCCTATGTATGCTTATGTTGCTATAGTAATTAGAAACCTTTATAAAATTATGCTGCAGTATTCTATGGTAATGATGCAAAACAGTATTTCTTACAGTAGTGTTATTACAGTGCTGAAGGCCATAATTGTACAATACTGCAACATTTTTCAAATAAAGCCTGAGACAGTTAAACTCTAGGACATTGCTTCCAAAATGCACCTCAGAAATATTGCTACATTTTCAAACATATATTTTATACACCGCACCTGCAGACTATATGCACACACTTGCAGCAAATAAAAGTACATGGAACACACACATGTGCAAAAATTATAGTTACATGCAAATGGTTCACTCCGTTCATTTTCCATGTGCCTATTTTGTAGGTGCAACTTAAAGCACGTATACTATGTTTGAAAATTTGGCCCATAATGTCTTGTATATCTCTACCTAATATTCACCGCTGTCTATAGTTACCTTGAAGTCCTGTGATTTACTGTATTTACAATAGAGAGACAAGGTGGGTGAGGTAATATCTTTTATTGGACCAACTTCTGTTGGTGAGAGAGACAGGCTTTCAAGCTTACGCAGAGCTCTTCTTCAGGTCAGCGTAAAGCTCTGTGTAAGAGTGAAAGTTTTTCTCTCTCGCCAACAAAAGTCCGTCCAATAAAAGATATTGCCTCACCCATCTTGTCTCTCTAATATCCTGAGACCAACATGGCTACAACATCCCACTGCATACAACAATGTACCTATAATGGCCAGAGATGTCTCCAAATCTGTATCCTGGCTAGTAGCAAGAGCTGAATTTTCCCTTCAGAGTGACAGCCGGTTAATTTTGTTTCCCATAATCAGGTTTTGAAAAGGGGTACTTTGTGTTAATGCAGTATCCAGTAGAAATAATATCTTATAGTATTGCCTTATCTGTGCCCATACTGTATATATGTATCATCGTGTCAAGCAACGCACCCCCACCATATCATCCTTCTCTCCCCTTTCCTCCACCCTGAAAAAAGAGAGGGAAAAGTATTTCTAGGAGATTGAGATTTAGTTTGATAGCAGGTACACAGCATACAAGCAGTTCTCTCTACAATAGCTTTTCAAGACCTTTTAAACTGTTATCTGAATTTGAACCTATGTTTACAAAAGATAAACCCCATAATTATTTAATGAATATCCTGCTGGCTCTGGAAGGTATAGTCTACTGGTATGAATAGCATTCTTAATGTAGGCAACAAAATGTCTCTTCCTTTAGTGAACCTGTAACATTAGTTCTTTATCACCTGGTGGAACTTAAAATCTGAAAAACATACACTCTTCTGTAAGTGAAAGCTCCGGGAACAGCTGAACTTCCAAAGAGACGTAGTCACACTGTAGTTTGGTTAATAAACTAGACTCTGAAATTAAATCCAAACACATTCAATACCATGCAGCCTTCTCATTACAGGGCTCCATAATTTGATGGAGGTATAATTTACTGCAGTGCAGTTGGTCATCACTTATTAAATGCAATTATAATTCTTATATTTTACTGAAGATTTAATAGTCAAACTGGATAATGCATTTTATTGCATATTTTAGCATATGTATCTAAATAATGTTAAAACATAAGAAATTTCATTGTAAAGAGGACAGAGAAAAAATGAGTGGAGCTGAGTTATGCATTCCTGTCTTCCTAAATTCATTGGTTATGTAAATCTGCTGTGTTGTACTTTTTGTTTCAGTAACATTTGACAAAGCCATGGCTACAGATGAAAGGGACACTAAACAGAATGTTCAGGCTGAGGTACTGGGTACTGATGCTTCAGGTACTGTAAAAAATAAATTGGTGCTTTTGATTGCAACTTAAAGAGGCAGAATCCATTTTCTTTTTCATTTTGCTTATGTATGAAGCTTCTTTCTTCCTCATGAACTGGGCAAAAGAAATGTAAAGCTGCCTATATAATCTGTGCACTTGCTGTGACTGAAAGATTCTAGTGGTGACCAGTCTTCCAGGTTTTATTTATCACAGACTGGTCTCCTGACATTTTCCATTTTAAATAAAAGTGATATATCATAGTTTGGGCTAGCAAGTGCTTAGTGATTGTAAACCACTGTTTTTTTTCAAAACAGCTTTCTTATTTTTAATGGGCCAAATCCTATAGCCCTTTCTCAGGCAAAACTTGTGGGACTTTTCTCTGCGTAAAGACTAGGTAATGACCGCAAGCATTTGGACCAATATTTCTTCCCTTTCTTATAAAGTTGCAGTTATATCTTCTTATTATTTCACATGGGCTTCTATGTTGAGCTTATATAATATTCAGCTCAGATTTAGCCTCACATGAATCAAAGAATTCTAGAAATTAGAGATGGAGAGGCAGTACTGTATTAGATTATCTTGTTACCCTTATTTCAATGCGGGTTTGTTCCATTTAGTATATTCCTGTGTAACACACTGTTCGTGGCACCCAGAACTGTCAGCCACTCTGTTACCCCTCTATGTTAGCAACAGTGAGAGCTCTGCTGCTGCTAAACCATGTGTCAGCTCTCTGACACACCATCCTGATCTGCCTTGCCAGCAAACTCTTCAAGACTCTGACAGTCTAAACCTTGCCTTGATCATAACAATCAGTGAACCCCAGTTCCCCAGAGCATCCACCGGTGTTGTCCAGTCCCTCTCACTGTACACTCACAGAAATTATTGAGTTTGCTGCCTCCAAAAAGATGGAGCACATATCAGCCAGTTAGGCTAGCTGAAGAGTCACTCTAATACACAGCACTCGAGATGCTTTGTAATAAAACAAGAATAAATTTATTCATAAAGATCAGAGATTTAAGTGATACTGAGCAAGAGAAAAAGAGACAGGTCTGGTTACAAACAAACCAAAATAAAACACATTTTCTATTAAAGCTTAATCTTAGCAAGTTACAGTCTTTGCCTAAGCAGTTTTCTTACTCACATCAAGTTACCAGCATCTCCAGCCCACTAGGCCAGGGGACCCAACATTCACAGAATACTGTTCACATGGTTCCCTAAGTGATGGATCCCTAAAATGCCTTTTTGTTCCCCTTATATTATCCAAAGTCCATTTTCTCTGTCTCAAGAGCCAGGAAAGATTCCTAGGGTGCAGACTCTGTCCCCCGGTGTGCTCAATAAACTGCCACTTGATTGTTTGTTTCTCATATAGGTAAATGTGCTTTCATTGCCCTCTGCCACTAATCAAGCTGGTCAGACAGGTAAATACACATTCCTTTTATCTAGGGCAGGCTGGGTTTATGCACTGCTTCCCAAACACATTTTAAGAACCTATTTCCTGCAGGCATATATAACTCTTTGTACACTAGCCATACATACTTCTCACAGTGATTTTTTTTTTCAGGGCCAGCGTGTCACCAGTTTACATATGATACCTTACATGACACCTTGTAGATCCATATTATGACAACAGTATGTTGGGGGTAATGAGTGTATCAGGCTTGATCTGAGTTACAGTATGCTGGGCCCTCTGCCAGTTGGCATTGTGGGGGGCTCCCAGGGACACATCCTGACAGCTTTGTCAAGATGAACTTTCCCTTCTTCGCATAGAAATCTGTTCTACTGTTCTAATACATTTGTTGGGAAACTCTTCCCCATATTACTAAGTCTAAATTTTTTCTTGGCATAATTTCATTCCACTATACCTAGTTATGTGCTCCTGGGCAGCTGTAAACTATTCCTCTTCAATCTTGGTGTTTGCATGTTTCAAATACTATACTTGTATCCCTTCTTAATTACCATTTGGCCAAGCTACACACATTTTCATTCTTCATGTCTGTCTGTCTAATATAGTTATATAGCCCTGTTACCTTAGTATATGAGAAGCTGTGTTTCTTCACAAGGCACTTCATCAAACCTCTTAATACATTTTTGCCCTTTATCTAGTTTATTAACAGTTGTAACACGTGCTTCCTAAATATTATTTACACTAAATTGTACAAGGTGTTATATCTTGGATTATTAACTAGACAATGTAGTTACCAAATGCTTAACTGTTAGAAAGCATGTTTAGCATCACAGATGTGCATCAAATGCTCGGTTGCAGAAAAATGATCCCCCATTACGAGAGATGGGCTTGAACCTATATTTCAAATGCTAATCTAGGATTGGATCAGAGTTTGCAACTTGAGCCACTCTCTGTGATGAGCCAAACTGGATCACTATGGACTTTGGGAATGTTTGAAATCAGATCCAAACGTCCAACATCCACATTTGCAAAAGTTTAGAATTTGATTCAGCCAAACATAGAGTTAAACAGTTTGGGTATGGCACTGCTCAGGCCTATCTCTACTAATCACAAAGATTAATTTCATTTCTGACTGTCATGAGCTGCCCCTTTCTGGATGCACACCTTGTTCAAAACTTGTGTGTTTGTGTTGCTAGTACACTCCCTTTTACCCCTCTAAGGATACATCTGTGCTTTGAGCTGGAGATGTAATTTCCAGCTCGGGTAGAACTAGGCACTGACTTCTCCTCTGCCCGGTGGGTACTCGACCCCCCCTCACCCCTGCCCCGCCCCTTCTCACCCCTGCACTGCCCTCGCCCCACCCCCTTTCTGCCCATCCCCTTCCTGCCCCCACTCCACCCCCTTCCACCAAGTCCTCGCCCCTGCCCTGCCTCTTCTCCGCCTCCTCTCCTGAGCGCGCTGCATCCCCACTGCTCCCCCTCCCTCCCGGAAAGTCCTAAGCACAGCCAAACAGCTGTTAGGCAGCGGGCGGGAAGTGCTGGGAGGCAGCGGGAGGAGCGGAGCCGCGGCACGCTCGGGGGCGGGGGGAGCAGGTGAGGAGGGGGGAGCTTGGCTGCCGATGGGTGCAGAGCACCCACAAATTTTTCCCTGTGGATGCTCCAGCCCTGGAGCACCATGGAGTTGGCGCCTTCTGCGAGTAGATATATGCGTGCTAGCTTTGACAGAGTTTGTGCGCTAAAAATAGAAGTGAAGCGATGGCAGCATGAGTATCAGGATGGAATAGCTGCCCGAATAAGTACAGAAACTCCCCGACTTATGCAAGCATTCCATTCCGGAACGCCTTGCATAAGTCGAGTTTTGCGTAAGTCGGGAACGTATCTCCGACAATTACATGCCACACAAAAAAAAGGTGCTTACGGAACTTTTTCCATATGTCTGGATTTCTGTAAATTGGGTTTGCGCAACCCGGGGAGTGTCTGTACCTGAGATTCCAGGCAGGATTGTACTTGGGGAGTCTAGCCCATCCCACCACTCATGCCATGGCAGCTTCACTTCTATATTTAGTGTGCCAGATCGATCAAAGCTAGTGTGCCTGCTGAAGCTGGAAATTATGCCTCCAGCTTGAAGTGTAGGCATAGCTTAAGCTTCCTTTCAGGACATTTGCCTGTGAATACTAGGCAATCTTGGCTGCTTTTCCTAACTCTATTTCAGCTTCAGGTAGGTATTTTGGAAAAATCATATTGCCTTCATAATGCCTGTACGAGGCTGGTAACCAATGATATGGTAAAGGGTAGAGGGTGAAATTTGCACAAATGAAAGAGAAACCAGATTTATAAATGAAAAACATAAAACATTTTCTAAACCTGCAGATAGTTCTAATCTGTATAACCGCACTAGTGCTGTGCACAAGCCGCAGATAACTCCTTTTTGCAACTTTTGAAGGATAGTATTTTTCATTGGTTTGGCTTCCATAGACATTACTAGTCCCATGCAGACTTGCACCTTTGAAACTCTCAGGCCCCTCAATTTTCTCTTCTTGCTTCCTTGTGTTCTCTTTCCTTCCCTTTCTGTTCTGCTCTCAGTCAGCTCTTCATCCTTCATCAGTTCTCTTTAAACTTACTTAACATTTTACTTTTTTTGTTCTTAGCTCCCAGCATTTTTTCTCCTCCATCGTCTGAATGCTCCTCCTAATTAGAGCCATTGCCATAAGGCTGTAGCACTGAATTGCAGCCCTCTTTTGCATGTCTTAGTCATTCAGTTGGGAGCTAACATTGTTTCTGCACCTTGCTAAATAGAGAAGAGGCCACAGATACATGGAAGGCCAGAGGATTGGAAGAGCAAATCTGCCTGGTGACAGGAAGCACTTTATGTGCTTTCAGCACTGCAACACAATAAATGCCAAGAAACAAGTTATCCGCTGTCCCAAAAGATGTATTCGAACCAAGATAAAACCATGGAACTTTCCAAGACCCAGGGGCTATGTACTAAAATAGGGGTGTCTGGTCTTTGTACTTGGGGAAATATGCAAGGTCACCCTTGCTGTAGTTTCTCTTAACTTCTGTTTGGCTACAGAGCCAGTGGAAGGCTAGAAGGAACCAATTAACTCTGGTATTTTTATTCACCAAAGAATTAGAAATGGTTCTGTCTCTTTAAAATTGCGAACAGTGTGGTATTTTGTGCTGTGATTATTACTGCCATGTATGAACATGAAATTGTTCAAGTGAAGAGAATAACTTCATGGTATACTGAGATGTGATGTGGCCTTATCCTACTCAATTCCTTTTTCTTTCCGCAGGGCTGTCTCAGCTTTGCACTTTCAATGCTGGCAATGGTTAGATTTCTATTACTTTGATTTAAAAAATTTAGAATTGAAAAAAGTGTTAAAGTCATGGCAATGTAAGTTGGTGAATGGAACCTATCTGGTAGAAATTTAGCTGATCAGATCTGAGATGAGCAGTAATGGACTAGGGTGTCTGTGGTTTAATGAGATAAGAAAGGATAGGTGCCCAGGTCGTCTTTGCGTAAAATGCCCATAATAAGAAGTAGATTGGTGGTGAATTACAAGAATGATCATTAAAAGAAGAGACTGTTCTCTCCACTGGCGA